GGCCCGTATTCCGACGCGTTCTGAATCCCTAAACCCCATAAAGCCCTTATAGTCCCCATATAGACCCTATAAAATCCGTATAATCCCTATAGTTCCCATTCTCTTTTCCATTATCCCAATATAACCCTAAACCCTGAACCCTAAACTCTGAACCCTAAACCCTGAACCCTAAACCCTACACCCTGAACCCTAAACCCTAAATCCCAAGGAGCAAAGCAACTCTTGGTTCCTTAAGCCGCTAGTGCTTGTCATCGGCGGCTTCATCGGGCTGGTTCCTTGCTACTGTAGTTGTTCTGGGTTTAGGACTTAGGGTTTGGGATTTAGGGTTTAGGATTTGCGGTTTAGGATTTAGGGTTTACGATTTAGGGTTTAGGATTTAGGATTTAGGATTTAGGGTTTCATATGGGTTTAGAAGGGAATGGAGGAAAAGAAAGGACACTTCGAAGCCACTACGGGAGTTCAGGGTTTGATGAAGGTAAGGAATGGAGGAATGGATCCATATAGTAGCCTCATGTAGCCTCTACATCGCCGCTACACATGTGGTAGTTTCTATTTTCTTGTCCATTCCTTCGCTCCAGACAGGCACCCAACAAGTTGACCTTTTTAACCCTGTACTTCCCTAAGCCCATAGGTTCCTATACCACGTCCCAATCTTCTATTTAATTTCCCATCTGTGTTTTCAACTTGATTGCCCAATCCCTACTCTAGACCCCAAACTATGAACCCTACATAACCTCTACAAAACCCCACATATAGCCCATTATACAACCCCTATAGGACCCGTATGTAACCGCTAGATACAAGGTTCCTGGGCCCCAAAAGTAGGTAAATAATGGCTCAAAATCCCTAAACCCTAAAACCCTAAAACCCTATTTGGGGTTGAGGTTATCGTTTCTTGGACTGGAGTCTGTTTGACCATCTGGTTACGAAGCCGAGAAGCTCCCTCCTTCATGCGCATGTCGGAGGAGCATGAGGCCCTAGTCCAGTGTCTAGGCGAGAATATAGGGATAATGGAAAAGAAATGGAAACTACAGGGATTATGGGGATTGTATAGGGGATATATAGGGGATATATAGGGGATATATAGGAATAACGGAAGCTACTATAGTCCAGCGTCTAGGCAGGAATAGGGTTAAGGGCTTAGGATCTAGGGCGGAATATACATGAAAATACTCGAACTTTAACACTACATAACTTTGGGGATTCCTGAATTTCATGTTCAGAATGCTTTGACCCTACATCCTCCCTAAACCCTGAACCCTNNTAAACCCTAAACCATAACCGCGTGGGGGGATGCATGTGCAACCAAGGACACTTCAGGAGACTCGGGAGATTAGCGCGGTTCGCAGCAAGTTTGACTTCCGCATGCAGCAAAGGTTGAAGTGGCTTCTGGGGACCAGGACTCAGTTTTCTTGGCTGTCTTCTGCTTGGCTGTTAGGACTTTAACTTATTGGGCTTCCTACTTTCTGTATTAAGGAGGCCAAAAGTTTAACTTGTAGGGTGGGTCCTAAAGACAGCTAAGTTTTAAGGTTTAGGATTTGGAGCCTAAGATGGTTTTAGGGTTCATGATTTCGGGTTTTGGGCTTAGGACTCAGGAGCTTTCAGCGGGATCCTTCATGGGGACCGTCATAGGTCATGGGGGGGGGTACTATGTCGACTACTGGTTACACATTATGCTCTCTCCTACCCCATTTTTCCGCCTGGAGAAGCTTCATTTCAAGTAAGCCTAACTAGGGGCAACCTTGGGGACGTGGTCTAAGGGAGGGTGGTTAGGTAACCCATACACCTAGGGGTATATGCGCAAAACCCTTAAACCCTAAACCCTAGACCGTAAACCCTGAACCCTAAACCCTATACATATACATATATATATATTGATATATATATACAGATTTACATATATATATATATATGTGTGTGTGTGTGTATGGGACTTTCCCAAAATGAGGGGAATTTTTTGGGGTGGTGGTCCCTATCAGAAGGACTATAGTATATTGGGATCTATATTGGGGTCCCCCTATTTTGGGAAACTACCATATAGAGGTTTGGGATGCCCTGACCTTGAATCCTAAGTCCCTCTCTGTTTTTCTACAGCTCTTACAGGACGGCCGGACAGCTAACAACCATTGCTCGCTCCAGGCTCTCCAGCGACGCTAGGCCCTATAGCTTTCTGCTTGATTCCTATGTTTTAGGGTTTAGGGCTCCTGCATGACCCTAAGTATCTTATACCTCGGGAATGCTGGTATTCTGGTATATTAAGGTCATGCAAGATTTCTAGTATCAACACATTTTACTTGCAAAGCTACTCAAGACTGCACAGGGCAAAGTAAACCCTAAACTCTGAAAACGAAAGCCTGAACTCTAAACCCTGGAGCCTGAACTCTATACCCTAAATTCTGATCCCTAAACCCTAAAGTCTGAACTCTAAACCCTGGACCCTCATCTCAACATGCTCAAAACCCTTATCTCCAACCCCTGAACCCTGACCCCCAAACCCTAGACCAAGGACATCAAGCTAGCTTTCGAGCTGGTGGTAATGGTTGGCTTCCTATACTACATGGACCTTACTTTGGATGTTCAGGTTGGGCTTTAGGTTTTAGGGTTTAGGGCTTATAGGGTAGAGGGCTTGGGGTGATATAGGGTCCATTTGAGCTATAGTCTAAACTTTTTAAAGGGGTTATATAGGGGACGACTACAGGAGTATGAAGGGGGACCTAGAAGTTTAGATTATGAGTCATATGGGATTACATAAGCCGTTCTAGAGGGGTTACATAGGGATGTCGCTTAATCCTGTACTACACCCTCCCTTACCCCCCTCCCTAAATAAGGCCGAAATAAGCGCGAGGGAAGCACCAACTAGGCTTTATGTCGGGGTAATGGGGTAAGAAGTGGAGAGTATACGACCGCATAGTCAGGCCTGCATAACATTCTGGCAGACGGGAAATCCGAAGTTTCTCCTGACGAACGCCCCATGGCCTGGTTTTTCAGCCAAATGCAGAGCAAGATTGCATCTGAAGAGCAGCAGGACAGTTTCATGGGTTTAGGGTTGAGGGTCAGCTGAGGAGGCTGCGACTTGTAATGAGCCAAAATAAGGCATTGCAAGCAACGGCAACAGCATGCACTTGAGGTACGAAAAATGCTGTTCCATTGCAATCCACCCCTTCATAATTAGTTCCAGGGCCCATTGAATTTCTCTTCTTTTCCATTCGGTTCTGAATCATCCTATGTACCCGTGTGCATATATAATTAGATATATGTTGTCAATTACAGTGCGTAAGCCATGCTTTCTTCAAACTGTAGCACCCTAGTTCTCTGTACGACTACCGCATGCTCTAGCAGTGCTTCCAAATTGTGATTTCGGTGCTTAGAGGTTCATAGATAGAACTCAGGTTGCAGCTTTTGTTATTCTGGTAGTTTCTCAAAATTAGGTGGTTCTTTTTTGGGGGTGCCTATAATAAGCATTATAGTAGTTTGGTGTCTATATTGGGCCCCCTATTTTGGGAAACTACCATTGGGCAATGAACCTCCAAGTATCCTTTTCTTCGACCTAGGTGATGGCCATGCTAACAGCTGCGATGTACACTGCGTATCACATCTTCACCCATGGAGACACTCTCTTGGCGGATCTTACCAGAAATGAGACCTTTGTGCTTGGTGTGGCCTATGTCTTCCAGCTGCATATCGTCTTTCTCTGCTGGATAAGCTGGAAGCGAGGCAAAAAGCATCTAGGTGGCATTTTCGGAAAATCACTGACTCCCGTATGTTTGTGCAAGAGGACTGTTCACCCCTGAACCCTGAGAGCCCCTGTACGGTCCCAGTTTCCACGTTTTTTGCCGGCTCTTTTCCATTAGGTTTTCCATTCTTAAGGCGTTTTTGCCTTTAAAATGCAACCCAACCCAGGCATCAACTGCTCATTGACTCCAAGTTTGCAGAGGCAGCGATTGAAGCCGTCGTCTCCTCGTTGGTCCAGACCTATGCGGTAATCTTTGGTGCGCGCGCCTTGGTGGGATTTCGCCACAACTATATACTCTTGATATTCGTCTATTTTCCAGTCTATAGTGGGGGAACTAATGAGCAAACCAAGGCCCTAAAGCCCAAACCCTGAACCCCAAACCCTAAACCCCCAACCCTAAACCCTAAACCCCAAACCCTAAACCCTAAGCCCTAAACTCCAAACCCATAAACCTAAACCCCAAACCCAAGGCACCCTGACACACTACCAGCAGCTAACCTTGTACCTTTCCATCCTTGGCTCCCTGGCATCCATCTCCAATGCCTTCACCCTCTTTGATTCTGGGTTGCTGTTAGTTTAGGGTTTAGGGACGGTTCAGGGTTCATGGTTTAAGGTTTACGGTTCAGGGTTTAGGGTTTAGGGTCTAGGAACTAAATTTATGTTTCTATATTGGGGTACAATATAGGGCTTAGGTTTTAGGGTTACCATAGTGGCTGTACATATAGATATGGTATTTAATATATGGTGTCCCCAATATAGTAACTTAACTTATGTTCCTTACATCACTAGATTCATTCCCCCAGTTTCCATGACATTTTTCATGATCTGTTCCATTTGATGCTCCACTATAGGGGGGTATATAGTTGTTTAAGCTAAGTTCCTCAACAACAACCCAGGATTCCCCCAGCGGCATTGATCAAGCACCAGGCAATGAGCCACTGGGCTGCTCTTGGGAACGTCATGCCCCTTTTGAGAGTCTGAGTTATAGGGGTTACACAGAGGTGATATAGTTATGTAGGCTTACATGGGTATACTGTCTGAGGGTTTTAGTTATATGGATTAGATAGAGGTTCTATAGGGTAACGTAGGGGTTGCATGGGGGTTAGAGTAAAGTTAAGCTAAGTTACTATGACATGGATCTATGGTAAATAAGTAGGCGTCCTTGCAAAGATACGGGCATTTCTGAAAGTAGCATCTATACAACACCTAACTTGTAAGGACCCTTATAAACCCCCCAAACCCTTGGTGTCCCTAGGGGCCTCGGATTTTGAACGCTTATTTTAAGTACCTCATATATATATAGGGATAGGGATGTAAACCCTATATAACCCCTAGGTAACTCCTCCATATTCCCTATAACCCTTATAACGATTTTAGTTCCCTACCTGCGGCCCAGGACCTCACCAGTCAGTCCCAAACTTCTCCTGGTCAACTTGTTCCGGCTATGTGAGTTGACGAATAAGATCACAGGACTCTCCCTGCTTCTAGGAGGAAATGGTTAAGGGGTTATTACCATCACTTAGGGTTTGGGAGTGTCATTTTGGTTTTAAAATTTTAAAGCTAAGGAAATTTGGGTACCCGAAGTAATAGTAAGTTTACATGGGCTTGAGGGTTTAGGGTTTAGGGTGTAACTACAGGACTCTTCCAGCCTGTGGAAGTTTCCTGCAACTAGTTTTTACTTCGGGCTTTGTTGGGTTTAGTCGTTCACTCTTTCAGGGTTCAGGGTATAGGTTTTAGGGTTTGGGGGTTGCATTTCTGGAAGTTCGCTGAACACAGATTTAGTTTGTCTTATTTGGGGGGCTTCCAAAACCATGGGGCCCCCTTATTTTGGAAACCTCCATTCATAATCCTAAGAACCAGCTGAAAGTAGCATTTCTACTAGGGCGGCGCCCGGGAACGTAGACCCTAAGCCCTAAACCATCGACCGTAGAGTCTCTACAGGTTTCAGCTGGCATTCCGGCCCTATGGTGGATGCTTCGCTGCTGCTGCAAGCTACCTGTCCCTGACGGTGTCCATTTGGCTGTCACTGGGTTGTTGTTTAGGGTTTAGGGTGTATACCTGAACTCAACATTAGGGGCTGTTGTTATAGTCCCCACTTAAGTAGATAGAATACTGCTTTGGTTATGTTATAATAAGATCCCCATATACCCCATGTTCTATCTACTTAAGGGGGAGTACAAGGAAGTAAAATCGAGTTATTGCTGTGGGGACGCCATGTCATTATATACATATATATATATATATGTATACGCTAATTTGGCTGAAGTTCCCTTGCAGCAACCCAACACACCTGAGGAATTTTCAGGTGGGAGTTCCCCGACATAAGCCTTACATAGCCCTTATATACCTCCTAGGGCCTCATATGAGCCTTCTGTAGGCCTCATGTTTTCACTGCCCACCTGGTAACTCCCTAGCTGAAAGTTCCTTTAAGCAATGTTGGCACCCGAAACCCTAAATCCTATACCCGAAGACCCTAAAGCCCTAAACCCTAAGCACCCTAAACCCTAATTCCTTAACCCTAAATCCTAATCCCCAAGCCCTGAACCCTAAACTCCTTAACCCACGTATCCCTAAACACCCCAAACCCTTAAACCAAAGGTCAGGTGGGCAGGCGAGCTTTGCCCTCCCTTGCGTGTTCGCGCTGATCAACCCTCTCTTAGAGACGCACAATGCGGTGACCATGCCCCATGTGGTCTACTACAGCCTGCGAGTGGTTGAGACAACGATCATGGTATTGCTGGTGTGGTTCCTTGGTCAGAACTGTCGCTTTTCTGCCTTGTAGTAAGAACCCCAACACGGAGCATGGAGCGGAATTTCTGAATGGTATCCCAATGTGAGACGAGGTTCATGGCAGATGTCGACGTCTACACCTTGTACGAGCATCTTACTGATGGTTAGTGGGGAAAAGCGGAAAAGCAGAATCTGTTCCCGGTATAATACATTCCCTTCTTCCCTACTAACACTGAAGCCTAAGCCATAGAATGCGTTCCCTTGTTCCCTGCAAGCCCCAAACCCTCAGCCCTAAACCCCAATCCCCATAGGACAACTAACCATAAATCCTAAACCCTAACCCCCGTATAATATTTTCCCGTATTCCCTACTAACCCTAAGCCC